TTTATTTTGACAGTTTCCAAATATATATATATATATATAAAAGTTGACAGAATAGTGCAATGAACCATCATATACCTGCTACCTAGATTCCACAGTTGTTGACATTTTGCTCTATTTGCTTTGCCTCCTCATATATATGTATATATATATACACACACAAATCTATATACATATTTATGTTTAATTTATATTATAAATTTATATAAGTAAATAAATTTATTTACTTACATATATAAAATTTATTTTGCTTATTTTTTTTACTACTTTGAAGTGGCAGGTGTCATATGTCACCCCTAAGTACTTCACATTCATAAGAATCTTTATAAGCCACATTATGATACCTAAGACAATAAGCAGTAATTCTATAATATCAACTGGTATTGAGTCCCTATTCCAATTCCCCTAGTTGTCCCAAGAATGTCTTTTATAGCTGTTTCTCTTCCTGAGCCAGGATTCAGTCTGATTCATGGCTTACATTTGGTTGTATCTTTGCTCTCTTAATCTAAAATAGGCCTACCCACTTTTTTCCCCCATGACTTTACTTTTTGAAGAGTTCAGGTCAAATGCTTTGCAAAATCTCCCACATTATGGATTTGTCTGATTGTTTCCTTGTGGTATAATATAATTTGTTCCTTTATTTCTTTTAATTCCTGTGCAGTGGGAGTTAGATTTACAGATTTGGTTTGATTCAGGTAAAACATTCTTGGCAAGAATATTTCTTAGGTGATGTTGCCTGCTTCAGACATTAAGAGGTACATAATGTCTGGTTTTTTCACTATTAGTAATCCTACATTAATTTACTTTGTTTAGGTGATGACTACCAGATTTTACCATTTAAAGGTACATTTTCTTCTTTGCTATAAATAACTAATCTTGACACCTTATGAATATGTTATTTATTAACCTTTTACGTACTGGTTTTAATATCAATTAATGATCCTCGCCTGAATTAGTTATTACATTGGGGATTGCAAAGTGGTGATTTTTAAAATTTGACCATTCCTTCTAAATAATTAGCATTTTTCTATAAAGAAGAACTTCAATTTTTTCCACTTTCACTCTTCCCTTCTTTTGAAGTATCACTATGAACTGGTAGATTTTTATTTATTTAATTTGCTGTTAATTAGAGTCATTCCTTTTGATGCTCAGATTTTCCCAAATTTGGCTGAGTCCCCTTCAGGGTTGCTGCTATTCCTTTTGATAAGCCCTCATCTGTTCGTCTTTAAACACTTTCTTACATTAAAATAACAAGAATTTCAAGCTCATTTTGTACTTTCCCTACCCCAGAATGGGAATCAGCCATTTTTCTGAGGAGTCGGTTCCCAAAATGGAGTTGTTTTAAAAAAATTGATTATTCTCCCTTTTCTCCTCTCATGGAGACCTTTCTTCATTTCATTCTGTATTAGATTAGGATTTACGTAGTAAACTACCAGATTCAAGTATCCTAAATACCTGAGGCAAGGGTGAGATGGGGTGATGGGAGTGGTCTCTGCTCCACCAGAGGAATTCTTCCAGTTTAAGACAATCACTTGGGCAGCATACTACTAGTATATTCTGTCTTCTGGTCCTTATACTTCCATCCCTGATTTTTCTCACACAGTTTTTATTCTTTCATCTCCCTATTCATTCTGCTTCAATCTTTAGTTTTATTTTTCTATATAATGCATTTTGGAGTTAAGGCTTTAAGCTTTGCAAAATGACCATTTCCAACATCCATTTCAGCTAATTAATTTGATATGTTTAGGTTTTGATGTGATGTTGCTCAATATTAATTTATATTTATTTCTGTTATCTTACGAAGCTTGCTTTCTTTGATGAGGCTGTGATGACTGCAGTTTCTCTCAGTTCTTGAGACCAGCAGTATGCTAGGTTCACATCATGGTTGGTGCACACCTTCCCTTAGGTTCAATTTCCTTCATCTGTTGCATTCTTTTCTGTCAGTTGGCCAGGCTTGAGTTAAATATGTCTTCTTTCTCACTGTACTCCCTCCCCCAAATCAGTTAAGAAGGCATTTTACTTACATTTTCCTAACATAAATCTCTCTCTCCAGATGGAGGGTTGAAGTCTCATTGTGCTAAGGAGAAAGGAAAATTACTGTTTTGCATGTACATATATTTTGGATTTTACAGGAAAGGGGAGGGCATTTCAAAATCTGGTGAATCAATACAGATATAAAAAATTGATAAAGATAGGACTGCTTGTTTTTATATTCTGCCACATAGCATGTGTTTAAATGAATTTGCCTATAATTTGTCTTCAGATGCTGACATTTAACTCTTAGACTGTATAATTGTGCTGGCTTTTTCGAGACAAATTCATATTCTGTGTCCAGGCTAATATGTTCACCTATTACAGACATTATTGCCTATGGTAACAGCTAGAATAAAAAATTCTTTTTATATACATCATAGCTGGCAGAGGCTCTTGGGACCGCCACAAATCATTCCTGTCTTTTTGGACTTGCTGAGGAAAAGCATGGAGATGTAAAACCAACCTGGTCTGATATAGATTGGCTTTGAAAACATACTAGCTTATCTAGACCACTGTTCATTGTATTGTTGTGTTGTTTTTAAGATGCTGAGTATTAAACATGCTCTTCTACTTAATGTATTGTTTAGCTTAGTAACCTATCCTTTCATTATGAACCAGCTCCTCTTCTACAAGCCATCTCTGGTTTTTGTTAAAGGTTAACAATGAGAATGATGAAGCAATTGGTTATTTATTCAGTCAGGATTGGCAAAAGTTATTAGAATAGGAATCTGCCCAGAAGCAATGATATGGTTATGAAAATGTTAAGAACAACACTGAAGCCAGTCACCATTTTTGACATTTAAGAAATACTATTCCCACCCCTAATCATGATGACCTGTTATAAAAGTATTTATACAGAATAATCTTATTGGACAGTAATTTTTATACAACAGCATATATAATTAGGTGTTAGGGAGATTCAGAAATGATTTGAGAGAAGAATGAGCCTTGGGAAGAAATTACCACAGTGAGAAATAAGGAACAGAGAACTCTCCCTTGGATAGAACTCCCTGTCTTCCAGACACCTGATCTGTGCAGTTTAGTATCTTCTTCCTGAGCACTTTGCAAGTTTGAGGAGCTGTGGGAGAGGGTACCCCAAGTTAGGTTGCTATGTTCTTCATACTAGACTGTAAAACATGTAGGGAGGTATATGGGCAGAAAATTTCCTGATGATGCTTTTATTAATGAAATATTGACTAAATTGACATTATGCAAAACCAAACAAATAGGACAAAAATCTAATCATAATCCTGTTATGTTTAATATAGTTAGAACCTTCTATGTAAATTAGGCAGTAATTACTTTGACCAGAACAGTATCATCACTTCTACCCTGAATTTTTTAGTAACAGCTTTATTGAAATATAATTCACATACAATAAAAATCACCCTTTGGAAGTATAGAATTCAATGATTTTGAGTATATTCCTAAAGGTGTGCAAAGACAGCCTTCTACTTCCAGATCATGTTCATTGCCTCCCCCAGAAAACGCATACCCATCAGCGAGTGCTCCCTATGTCCCTTCTCCATCTTTTGGCAACCACTAATATACTTTCTCTCTACATGGATTTGCCTGCTCTGGACATTTCTCTTTTTTTCCCCATTTAGCTTTTCTCACATAATGGGTACTTCAGAAAATTGGAGAAGAGGACAGAAAGTGAACATGGATGAATGTAACTCTTACTTGTGATCTGGTGTACTTAGAACTAAGTATTCTTTTCCCTGGCTCATTGGAAGAGGTATTTTAAACAACAACATACATAGAATTTGTAGTCTTTTGTGTCTGGCTTCTTTAGCATATAATATATTCAAGTTTTACTCATATAGTAGAATGTAGGGATACTTTGTTTCTTTTTATGGCTGAATAATATTCCATTTTATAGGTATACCACATTTTGTTTATCCATTTGTCACTTGATAGACATTTGGATTGTTTTCACTTTTTCACTGTTATGGATAATGTTGCTCTGAATATGCATGTATAAGTTTTTAATGTGAACCTATATTTTCAATTATCTTGGGGCATTGGAGTAGAATTGTGGGTCATATGGTAACTCTGTGTCTAACTTTTTGAGGCACTGCTAAATTATTTTCCAAAGCAGCAGCATTTTACATTCCCATCAGCTATGTGGGAGGGTTCTAATTTCACCATATTCTTGCCAGTGCTTGTTATTGTCAGTCTTTTTGATTATAGCCATCCTAGTAAATGCAAAGTGGTATCTCACTGTGATTTTGATTTGCATTTCCTAGTAGCTAATGGCTAACAATGTAAAGCATCTTTTCTTGTGCTGCTTGGCCATTTGTATATTTTATTTTGGGAAATGTCTATTCAAGTCCTTTGCCCATTTTTAATTAGGTAATAGTTTTTATTGTTGAGTCATATAACATCTTTACATATATATGGATACCAGACCTTATCATTTGTATGATTTGCAAATATTTTCTCTCATTCTGGAGGTTGTCTTTTCAATTTCTTAATAGTGTCCTTTGAAGCACAAAGTTTTAAAATTTGAAATCCAATTTATTTATTTGTTCTTCATTGCTGTGCTTTTAGGTGACCATTTGGCGGTGACCATTGCCTAATCCAAGGTCACAAAGATTTGCTTTTATAAAGTTTATAGTTTTAGCTATTAAATTTAGGTCAGTGATCCATTTTCAGGTAGTTTTATATATGGTGTGAGATGGGGGTCCACCTTCATTCTTGTGCATATGTTTGTTTTTATCAAATTTAAAGACTTGAGAAAGAAAAATTTTAATAGGATAAACATTGTTACTCCCTGTGAATTATTGTTTCATGATTTTGAGGGGGGTACATATGCTGTGTTCATCTGAAGACTATAGCTTACCTGCACTCTCACCAAGTATGGTTACATTTCTGTCTCTATTTTGTTTGTTGAAATCTGAAAAACAATACCGATATATGCAGTTTAAATCCATTTATTAGCTTTTTCCCTTAATTTGCAATCTCACCTCTTCAGCTACAGTATAAAGAATGCCAAGAACTTCTAAGCCTCTATCAGAAATATCTATCAGAACAGCAGGAGAAGCTCACTGTGTCTCTCTCAGAACTTGGTGCTGCTAAAATTCAGGAACAACAGGTAAGCATCTTTTTTCTTACCTTTTCTTGTCTTTAATGGATCAGCAAGATGTCAGAAGAGTTATCTGCCTTTTACTTTGTCTCACTGTATACAACATTGTCTTTAGACCTACAGTTACAGCATGTGATTGAGTTGGCTTCATTTACTTCCCTGTTTCCCTTTCCTCTTCTGTTCCTGGGGCCCAGAGGTCAGGAATGATTACTTGAAGCAGGCTCTGGGTCAGGAGGGAAGCTCCTGGTTGTATGAAAGCACAGCAGGAGTGATAAAGAAAACCCACTGCTCTTGTTACTTAATGAAGATCAGGTGGGCTCTTTTATTTTTACTCATAAGCCTCTTCTAACTCATGTTTAGAGTTTTAGAGTAATGAAAGTGTCTTGGCAAATTGTAAAAGCTTTAACTGGAGAAAACTGGAACATTTAGCATGATTTTGTGTTTGTATATATGTATTAATCACATAAGTATATATGAGAGTGTTTGCATATTAACATTTATATACATATCATCAAATAGTATATATTATATAATTAAATGAAAGTTCAGAACCCTGCCAGTTGTGATGTGAAACAAGTTCTGAAGACTTACTTCTTGCCCTCTAGCAAGTGACATTGGTTGTCTTTTTCATATCCAAATGAATTTAAATGGATGAGGATAGCTTTTGTATTAAAACGTTGTAGAAAAAACTATATAGAGTGTCAGAGTCATTCATATTATTATTAAAACATGGATAATGTACTAACTAAAGGGTTATCCTCTCCCTTTGAATAGTAGCAGGTCTTGAATGGTTTTCTGTAAACCTTCTAAAGAACACTGTTCTGTTCAACCTAGAGACCCCGTCTCAGATGGGTCAAGAGTTTCGGCTAAGAAAATCCATTTTTAAACCTCAAGTTTGGACATATGGAAAAGTAAAAAGAAAAGAAAGAATAATAATTTTGCTGGAATGTGGCATAGCTTAGACTTTTAACGTACCCTCCCTTTTTTTTTTGAAGTCACAATATTTATAAGAAAGAACCACAGTATGAATGGTTAATTTGTATTCTAACTGGAAATACTTTCTTTTGTTCTGTTTTTTGAAAACCTATGCTATAAAATGAGGCAGAGGAAGGTGGAAGCTAATCCTTTTATCTGGATTTGTTTTGCCACTTTGAAAAGGGCAGGCAGTTTTTAAGGTGGCACTTTCCTAATGCTCTCATGGTCGGGTTAGAGAAAAGTATAACATGACGATCAGATTTCTGACTTTAGTCTTTACATTTCCACTCCCTCTGTCTCTATGACAGATGTTAAAGGGCACAAAAACGTTGGCCAAGGGTAGTGAAGGAGAGGCTGAGGGACTTTTCAATTGCCAGTAGTTAAGGATATAGACTGAGAGTCAAGAAATAGTCATTAGGGAGTTTAAAGACATCTAGATAAGGAGGCCTAGCCCTTTTTCTATCTACTGCTGAAATGAGGGGAAAATAAAACTTTCTAAAGGGTAGTGTTTTATGTTTAAAAGAGTGATTCTTAGAGGTTTCCCTAGAGACCAATCATAGTTAACACTGCCTCTCTTAACCTCAACCTTGAGGAGCAAAACTAAAAAAATTACAAATACTAGGAAGAAACTGTTGGTCACAGGTATGGAGAAAGTATACTCTCAAAAGGAGATACTTTGGGGGGCTTCCCTGGTGGCGCAGTGGTTGAGAGTCCCCCTGCCGATGCAGGGCACACGGGTTCGTGCCCCGGTCCAGGAAGGATCCTGCGTGCCGCGGAGTGGCTGGGCCTGTGAGCCATGGCCGCTGAGCCTGCGCGTCCGGAGCCTGTGCTGCTCAACGGGAGAGGCCACATCAGTGAGAGGCCCGCCTACCGCAAAAAAAAAAAAAAAAAAAAAAGGAGATACTTTTGAATTTTCATTTTGACTTAATCATGAGAAAATTGTAAAACCATGTTTTCAGGAAGTGCCCGGTGGTCAGACTTTAGATTATGTTGTACATACAATGAAAATGAAATTGAGAGCACTTGTAGACTCTGCTATTTGAACCTAGAGAGGAAAAATAAGTTTCTTGTTGAATACCAAGTGGAGATTGTCACCCGTTTCCTTTGTTATCTGATTTGTTCTTTGTGACAGGCTTCTCTTAGCTAAGCAAAGGTAAGCACCTTCTCACTCACCCTCATGGGAATTGGGTGGATTTGGTGGACAAATCTACTTCCTGTCAGGAAGGGCATCATTGTGAACACTCTGAATGAGGATGTGGTAAAGTTAGAGGTCCTCTTTATGTGCTCACAAATAGACTACTCATCTGTATCTTAGCACTGTTCTTGTTCTTTTGTAATCATTGTTTATTCATCCACCTCTCTCACCAAGCTTTCTTAAAAACAGCATCCTGTTGGTTTCTTTATACTCAGAACCTAATATAGGTTGGCCTAATAAAGTTTTAATTTTTATTTAACAAAATTTAATATGGTAAATACTGTGTGCTCCAGGTACTGTTCTAAGCTCTTAACACACATTAAATCATTTAGTCCCTCAGTAGCCCAATGAAGTTATTATCCCCATTTTACAGAGGACGAATCCCAGGCGGAAAAAGAGACTTGCCTTGTCATCCAGGTAGCAAGTTAGGAAATCAAGATATGAACCTAAACAGTCTGACTCCATATTTTCTTGAAGAGAGAAAGACAAGAAAACTTTGAGATAGCTAAAAAATATTGAAAATTTGCTTTACAAGCCCTTGTTTCTATGACCAACCCTCTTTTGGATCTTAATCTGAAATCCAGTTTTTTGAATGCCAGAGCACAAATACACTAGAGATGGTGGGAAACTATTTGATTTTCCTGTGAGTAGCCAAAATGTCAGGTAAACATAAAATTTTATTTGTTCTCAAAATAAGGTTTTTTCATAGGCAGAACACTCTTTGACATAAATCACAGCAAGATCCTTTTTGACCCACCTCCTAGAGAAATGGAAATAAAAACAAAAATAAACAGTGGGACCTAATGAAACTTCAAAGCTTTTGCACAGCAAAGGAAACCATAAACAAGACCAAAAGACAACCCTCAGAATGGGAGAAAATATTTGCAAATGAAGCAACTGACAAAGGATTAATCTCCAAAATTCACAAACAGCTCATGGAGCTCAATATCCAAAAAACAAACCACCCAATCCAAACATGGGCAGAAGACCTAAACAGACATTCCTCCAAAGAAGATACACAGATTGCCAACAAACACATGAGAGAATGCTCAACATCACTAATCATTAGAGAGATGCAAATCAAAACTACAGTGAGATATCATCTCACACCAGTCAGAATGGCCATCATCAAGAAATCTAGAAACAATAAATGCTGGAGAGGGTGCGGAGAAAAGGGAACACTCTTGCACTGCTGGTGGGAATGTAAATTGATAACAGCCACTATGGAGAACAGTATGGAGGTTCCTTAAAAAACTAAAAATAGAACTACCATATGACCCAGCAATCCCACTACTGGGCATATACCCTGAGAAAACCATAATTCAAAAAGAGTCATGTACCAAAATGTTCATTGCAGCTCTATTTACAATAGCCAGGACATGGAAGCAACCTAAGTGTCCATCAGCAGATGAATGGATAAAGAAGATGTGGCACATATATACAATGGAATATTACTCAGCCATGAAAAGAAACGAAATTGAGTTATTTGTAGTGAGGTGGATGGACCTAGAGTCTGTCATACATAGCGAAGTAAGTCAGAAAGAGAAAAGGAAATACCATATGCTAACACATATATATGGAATCTAAGGGGAAAAAAAAAGTCATGAAGAACCTAGGGGCAAGACGGGAATAAAGACAGACCTACTAGAGAATGGACTTGAGGATATGGGGAGGGGGGAGGGTAAGCTGTGACAAAGTGAGAGAGAGGCATGGACATATATACACTACCAAACGTAAAATAGATAGCTAGTGGGAAGCAGCTGCATAACACAGGGAGATCAGCTCGGTGCTTTGTGACCACCTAGAGGGGTGGGATTGTGAGGGTGGGAGGGAGGGAGACACAAGAGGGAAGAGATATGGGAACATATGTATGTGTATAACTGATCCACTTTGTTATAAAGCAGAAACTAACACAGCATTGTAAAGCAATTATACTCCAATAAAGATGTTTAATAAATAAATAGATAGATAAATAGATAAAAAGCAAAAAGAAATAAGGTTTTTTTAAACTCACCTTCAGATTTTGTGATAGAGATGCAGCAGTTCATTTTTCATGAGGCATTCATTTGACTTTAAGAGACTTCTTTTGTTTCTTCTTTGTGTTGGTTGCCATGTGGCTCAACTTGCTTATTATAGGTTTTGTTTATAATTTTATTAAATTTGCAGTTCTTCAGAAGAATGTGCTAGCTTATGGTTTTCTTTTTACTTCTGCCATTTGGTTGAAAAGAAGTTGCTCCATTTACAGAGCGAATTTTTTCCTTGCTTTTCCCCCCATCCTCTTTCTTGCTTTGCCTCAAAGATGAATGCATTCTCCATTCATCTTGTAATTTGTTCAGCATTACAAGTTCTTCATTGTGGAATCTAGAAAGATTTTTCACTTGTTCTATTTAGACTGAGATACCTCACTGATATGTGTCTGTTACTCCATTTCCTTATCTTAAGAAACAATACTTACCCACAGTATAACCTTGTTCTTGGACATGGGAGTATCTAGTAACCATAGTTTTAACCAGAGTACATTTTAGAATATAGCTCTTCTTGTCACAGTTGAGTGTTACTATTTTGTGTGTGTGTGAATCTGAACTTAAATAATGTCACCTTAAACTCTGATGCTTATAACTTCTATTTTAATCTTATTTGATAGGCTGTATCATTTCAGGAGAGGTATGGTATTTCCACAGTATTCTTTATATTAAGAGAAAGCCTAGGCAGCACTTTGAGTAGCTTTTCCCACTGCAGTTTGAAAATGTCTCTATGCAAGATTGCCTTAATGTTTTTCTTAACTCTTCCATGTTTTTGCCAAGTAGATATAAAAAGGTAGATTTGGATTCATCTTGAG